GTGGGGCAGGATTCACCCACGAATCACCTCACATGGCTGAAGAAGATGTCCTGAGCACCCTGCGGAGTAGCTGAGAGGCCAGAGCTGGTTCTTCTGCAGCTCTCACAGAACTGGGGTCATCTGTGCTGTGTTTAACTCAGCCCCGTGGGCACGTGGACCAGCTCCCGGCAGCTGAGCGGGGACGGGTCTGTTGGGGGTGTTCTCGGGTCTCTTACGTGTTTATGTCTGCCGGTTGCATGTCTTAACGGGCACGGGAGGCAGAGCCTCTGCACAAAGATGCTTTGTGCCCAAGAGGACGCGCAGCTTCGGAGTCCTTCGCAGGGAGCAGCGTGGGAGCCTCCTGCTTCAAACCCTTCCCAAGGTGGAGGATTTTCTGCTCCTGTCCACTGCCCGGAGAGGCCGAGGGTACTTCTGAATGTCCCGGAGCCCTGTGCTGTGGGGAGCAGCAGAGCAGCCCCTGATGGCTCCTGTCTCTGCCCTGGGGAGCCCCCACCAGCAGAGTCCCAGCTTGGGGCATCTCAGCTCTTGCAGCCCCCTGATCTGTCTCCTCCCTCCTCTTCCTCGCCGGCTGAGGCTGCAGGCTCCCTGGGGGGGTCCCACATGGATCTGCCGTGGGGCTGGGTGCTGGGGGGCCCCCCAGGCTGCCCTGCCTGGAGGTGGTGCTGGGCAGAGGCAGCACAGTCGGAAACAGAAAGTCGAGAGAGCCATGTGACTGCCCCGGTGGCATCGTCCCCTCCCCACCCACAGCCAAAGTCCCTCTGTCACCAAAGAGTGGTCTCTGCCGTGGGATCCCAGCAGATTTTGCTCCCTGCAGGACCAGGGATTTTTTTTTTCCAGCAAAGACCCAGATTCCCAGGTTTTGCTCCAGATGTCACCCACGTGCATCATAGAGGCAGAGGGTCCCTGCAAGTCCATCCCTTTTTACCGTTGGTGCCTACAGGTAAACTTGTCCTGCAGGACCACAAAGCTCCGAAAGGCAGGAAAACACATACACCGCTGCCTGATTCAACCCCGTGGTTTGCTTATGCTCTCAGATGTCAAAGGGATCAAACGAAGCTCCCAAGACCTGTTCCTAGTGATTGCTCAGTTATCAACTTCAGCCCCTCGCTGGCCGCTGCCGTCCCTGCTCGACAGTCGCTCAGCCCAGGGAGAGGGACGGGTCGAGGACGCCTCGCAGCCCTCAAAGCCACAGCCCGCTGCAATTCCCTGCTTCTGGTTTCTTTGCCAGATGTATGCGTGCGGACAGACACACACAGGCGCACACACACACACAGCTTTTCAGGCTGTGATTTGGGAAACAAAGCCTGACACTTTGCCTTTGGAACACTGACAGCAGGATGTATTTGGCCAGGGGATACAAGAAACAAAATATTTTCTAATTCTGTGCTGCTGCGTTTAAGGGCAAACTACCCCAGGCTCATCTCACAGGATGGGCTTCGCTTGGCAAGGCAGAGAAAAAAATGAAATTATTGGAAGTTTTGGCACAGACAGGACACAGTTTTTCCAAGGGCCTGTGAGCTCCTGCACACACACTCCCATCCGAGTTTGGGTCTGTGGGTACCACCACGACTGTGGTTACAGGGAGAGGAGACAGAGCGGTGAGACTGGTGTGGGGCTGCAGGTGGAGTCCCTAAATGAACTGGTGGGATGAGGAGTGGGACTGGGGGAAGATGGGGGGGGTGTCACTCAGCGCATCTATAGCATCCACTGCTGAATTAATGTGTTATGACACCCCCCCTCCCCATCGCCGTCTTCTGAGCAGGACTCAGCTGTAGGGTATAATATCGCTGCATTTTCTGAAAGCTCTTCAGCCAAGAAACCCCTCGATTCAGACTCCAAAAAGTTGCAGCAGGAAGGAGAGAAGAGGGACAACGTCCCCAGGCAGCCCTGGGCTCCAGTGCTGGGTGGAGAGAGCAGCACTGCTCGGCCCCTTCGCAGCACCCAGTGCTTCCAGCCCTGCCTGGCAGCTGGGAAAATCTCTGCCTCTTCATTTCCCAACCCGGGGAGCGCGTTTCGGGGCCGGGATGACGTTACGCGCAAGGCTGGCGGCAGAGCCCGGGGCTGGGCTGGCAGTGGCACGTTTCATGTGTCTCGGAGAGCTCAAAGTCACCTCTGTGCGCGCACAGCCCCGCGCCGAGGCAGGATTTCCTTAGCTCAAATGCAGCACTGCAGCCCCTGCGTTGTCACGCCGCTCGCAGGGCTGCATCCCCGGGGACCCCTTCGGCCGGGTTTGGAGGACGGATGGACACCCTGCACCGCATCGGGGTCCCCCACACCGGGTTCACCCCGGCTCCCGCTGCCCCACCTGGCACAGACATGGGGATGGCGCACACTTGTGCGGGACGAGGAGCGTGGGATGGGTGCCAACCTGCCGGGGGGGAGCTGCTTGCTGTGGGTGGGGGCACCCAGCAGAGCTAAAGCTGCCCAGATCCTGCCCCAGTTGTATTGCCTCCCCCCCTTTCCACTTACTTTCACCCCTTGGTGCTGATGGGTGGTGGCGAGAATTGCTTGAATTGGGCTCTGAGGGCACCAGGGATTTGCACACGCGCGTGCAAAGCGGGGCTGGGATGTGGGTGGGAAGGGGCGAGCCAGAGGCTGTGCCAGGGGGCCCCCAGTAGCCCCCATGCAGCGACGCAGACTGGGCTGCGGGGTGCAGACCTGCCGTGGGGACACACCATGCAGAGACACCATGTCCAAGGCGGGAGGTGGCAGGTCAGGGAGGCTCCGACCTCGCTGCTGCTCGGCGCTCGGGGTGGCAGCAAGGCTGGCCGCGCTGGGTTTTCCCCAACCTGCCCATTCCGCTCTCCCATCCAGCCCTAATTCTTCCCCAAAACGGCATTAACCCGGTGCTGGGAGCGGAGTGGGGCAGAAGCGGTGCCGCCGAGCAGACCCCCCGACCGCTCATCCTCCTCCCGGCCCCTGGCTGCACCGAATTCAAGGACTTGGGGAAGGAAAGATGAGAGAGGCCCCAAACCTCCCTCCCCCATGATTGCTGGATTGATTAAGTATACTGATGAAGACAGCAAGGTTAATACGTATGCCAGTGAATTATAACACTGTCAGCCCGATAGCCAGGAGATTTTTCACGTTTCCATCAGCTGGCATCCCGCACAGATTTTCAGGGTGACGTCTTCCCCTCCCGACCTCCCTGCCAGGGAAAGCGAGAGGAAAAGCCTTGGTTTTACTGACTTTTTAACTAAATCCGAGGGAGTGACTTTTTATCCAGAGAAAGCTAATGCAAACTGTTAGAGATAAATAAATGGAAGAGCTGCCTCTAGTCTGGCTGGCTCACAGGGAGGAAATTTGTCTCACTTTAGAAAAAGGACCTGAAGGTACGGGGGCTGTTGACTCATTCATTGTACTGTTATCTGCCAGGGAGGTTGTGACATCAGAGCAATTAAGACAAACTTTAGTCTATAAGTTCATGCCTGCAACCTCTATACTTCAAAAGAAGACAAACGATCCCTCCAAGGAAGGAAACAAAGTCTTTTCCAGGCTGCTTCCAGAGTAACATTTAGGATTTGCAGTGGTTCAGGAGGAATTTTTCACCACACTGTTGTGGTTGGGTTTTTTTTTAAGCTGCCAGTATATAACAAACTACCTGAGCTTTTTCTTTTTTTTAGCAAAAGTTTATTTCTAATGCAAAAACAAGCAAACAAAAGCCCCAACCTCCTCCACCACCCAGGTCACACACACCAACTCTGCCTTTCACGGTCCTCCCCTCCTCAGTGTTTCTTTTTAATAAGTGTCTTAAGACAAGAACTGATTAAATCTGTGTCAGTCTGTTGTGGAAACATACACAGAAATTGTAGGAGCAACAAATACACAGCAGAGACATTGCGATCATTCTTCTTTCCTTTATGGTAACAGCAAACCCGGGAGCCTTTGCTTGACCCAGCTGCACCCGTCGTGCAGCGACTCCGACGTAAGAAAATAAGTGATCAAGGTAGAGCTGAGAAAGGCAAGACGCTTCCAAGCAAGCCACGAACCGCTGTGATAACAAGTAAAATCCTGCAGCCCATTCTCTGGGCATGAGGGCAGTGGCACAGCACAGCGCTGGCTGGAGCTCGCCCAGCGGCACCCCTCTTCCCTGTTTAGGGGAGTGCTGTCCTCTTTCACGTCACCTCTTTCCACCCCAGCAAAACCTTTCTGCGTTTACGGCTCAGCTTGCAGCGCCTGAGCGCGGATGCTCCCCGCACCCCCCACCGTGTTGCCTTGTCCTCCCTGCTCAGCGCTCCCAGCAAACCTGAGCCACAGCAGCGGGCGCCCGGGAGCAGAGGGGCTCTGCCCCTCATTTCATAGCGTGATGCTCATCCACCTGCCACGCTTTTACTCTGGAAGCTGTGGCTGCCCCATCCCTGGAGGTGTTCAAGGCCAGGTTGGACGGGGCTTGGAGCAACCTGGGCTGGGGGGAGGTGGCCCTGCCCAGGGCAGGGGGGGTGGGACTGGGTGATCTTCAAGGTCCCTTCCAACCTAAACCATTCTATGATTCTAAAAGCCTCACCTCCTCACAGGATGGGCAAGTCCAAGACATTTTTTTTTTTTGTCTGTTTGCTTTTGTTTTACATTTAGAACGAGCATTTTGTGCCCGTCTGCACTCAAAGACAGCCAACAACTCCCTACGAAATCCTCTGAACACTCAGCGTGTCATTCATACAATAGCAAAAGACTTAACAGTTAAAAAATACTCTGGAGCCAGGAAATATACAATACATTCAATAACAAAAAATATAGATATAAAATACTTGCTTTAAGGCTGTGTACAGTTTAACTGAAGATAATCTGAGGACATTAAATTGCTCAGCAACAAAATAAGTGCGGGAAGAAAATTCCTTAATGTGGTGGTGAGGGAAAGGCAGTAACAAATATCCCAAAAGATTCTGTTGCTGCTTCTAGAAAATACTTTTAGTAAAATATGATCCAGAGAGACTGAGAGTCGGAAGCGCGGGGCTGGTGCTGCTGGTCCAGGACAAGCTGCTGCCTTGCGCGCTGCTGTGAGCCCGTCTGGTTCACTGTGGTCCTTGGGTGGATCGCCGTTCCTCCAGCATCCTGCACACCCACATGGACACGACTTCTGCGTTCCCATCGTTGTACTGCATGATGAATGGGTGGCCCTGGAAAGCGGGACAGGCAGAGTTAGCCAAGACAAACACAACCCTTGCAGTGAAAACCCAAAGAGTTTTTTGCTTTTTAGTGGTTTTTTTTTTTTTTTTGTGGAAAAAATACATTGGAACATCCTGTGGTTACAGTCATAGCAATGCAATAAACCAGTGATTCAAACCAGTGCACTTTCTCCTGGATCCGTATTACTCATACATCGTTCACACAGAGAAGGGAGGGCTGGGGGAACGCAGGCTCTTTACCGAGGCCTCAGCCTCGCACTCCTTGAAAACACTGATTTTTTCTTTTTTTTTTGAATGTTTGATTAGCTTATTGTGTTCTGAACCAGCTCCTGTCTCGGGTGGCCCGCCGGGCTGTTCAACCTACAGAATCATAGAACCATCTGGGTTGGAAGGGACCTTTAAGATCATCGAGTCCAACCATCAACCCAACACTGCCAAACCCACCGCTAAACCATGTCCCTCAGCACCACGGCTGCCCGTCTTTTAAATACCTTCTAAATGATGTTTTGGTAAAACGATATTGTGACAAACCCACTGATCTACTAGTCTGCTTGTAAAGGTCTGTGATGTGCTAATTTTAAAGTTTCTCTCTTTAATAGCCCCCCTTGTGCACCTCTTTCACGCGTATTAACCTAATGCTCTCCTTTGCCGAAAGGAAAGCGGAAGGGCAGACTGTGTTCCCAACCTGAACGCCTTCGTTTGTGGGGCAGAGATGGAACGGTGCCACCGGGCACATGAAAACATGCAGCTGTACCAGCGCCACATTCGCTTGCATTCGTGTCCTTGACTTTTATCCGTGGAAACCTCATGCCTTACCCTCTGTACAGGAGACCCTCAAAGGCACAGTTCTTCAAACTACCCAGGAAAATACCAACGTGCCTGCAAGCGTTAAATTCCTTTTGTTACTTGGTCACTGAGCTCCGTGCCCGTAGATGCAGCAGGAGCAGGTGCCAGGCTCTGCAGCACTCACAGTGTCCATACGGAGAGGCATTTGCTCATGCACATACATGCTAGTACCTGTCATTTGGAGTGAACAGTTGATATAGAAATGAAAATATCACCTAAGTGTAACTGAAACATGTCTTCACGAGATGCTACTGTGGGAATTAAGTACGATGGAAGGAGAGATAACTATAAAATATTCTCGGTCACGAATTATATGGCTACTGCAGGCACTGGAAGACTGTGTCTTAGACACCTCGGAAAATCAGAACAGCATCTCAGGATGAAACAAAAATATGGCCTGCAATTTCGGCAGCCAGCTTAGGCAGCTCATGCCTCAATCTGGCCACATTCCTAGAGATGGGAACATGCCATCTTCAGATGAATCTCAAATGAAGTATAAAAATCCACAGGAAACCGAGTACCGCAATTACATAAATGACTGAAAGAAAGCAATCGCCAGGAGAAACCATCATGGATGATGAAAACCTCTACTCCAAATCACTCAAAAGCAGCTCAGTTTTTGCAACACTAAACTTCATAGCTCTTGCAAACAATGCCTGAAAGGAGTCAGAGTGGATCTGCCGGGGAGCCTTTTGGGGAGGGTGACGTACATGTGGGAATTTTCGGCGCGCACAGGCCAACGCCAGCCGCAGCGGTGAACGACGGCAATCAGCCCACGGAGAGCAAGCATGGGTTTGACGTGGGGCCTCGAAGCCCGGTTGTCGGCTGGGTTAGGATGGCACCGAGCGGAACAATGAAGCAGCACCGGGCTAAATAGAGCACAATAAATCCTCGCAGCATCAGCTCGGAGTAATAAAACACTCTGCGGGGCCAGGGCCAGCAAACACAGGAGCCACAGGAATAAAATATGCCATTATCTACAAGAATTATGGAGGGAGCGTGAGATGCTGTTGCTTCAGCTCTTTGGGATGGCTGGAATCTCAGCTAGAACTTTTCAGGGAGAAGTCTGAGATGTGGAGAGCCCTTCTTCAGATCTTACTGGGACCAGCCCAGGTGCTTTCCCCGTTAACCTTGTAGAGGAAAGACAGAAGGAATACTCCAGTGGAGCGAGTTAGTAGAGCAAGAGGTCCACCACCAGCAGAACATGACACACAGACTATGCCATGAAGAACTACAAACATCTCAAGTGTTTCATTTCACCACACTGGCTTCAGGTGCCCTGAAAGCTGCCTAACAGCCCTGGGCCCGCGTTTCTTTGCAGCATGGGCCCCAGACAGCCGCAATCCCTGGACTTGGCAGAACAGCAGCTTTCCCTCTCCGTGCGCGTGTCTGTGGGATGCTGGCTGCACCTCCACAGGCTTTTGGGAAAGGCAATGCAAGGAAGGGGCAATGCAAGGAAAGGACAACGTAAAGAAAGGGCAATGCAAGAGCCATCGCATCCTGAGCCTGCACACACAGAGCAAACGCCAGCCCAAATATTTCTTCCATCTATCTCAGCATCTTTCTGGCATCCAACGTCTCAGCTTGAAAAAGGTCCTGGTCCAGAGGCAGGAAAGATGCTGATGCTCTGCCGCCTGGATTAACAGAGGTGCCAAGAAGTTCCGCCACCTCGTGTTTAAAGCTCGCAGAAGGAAACCACCACAGAGCAATCTCCATGTCAGTAGGGTCCCCAAACGGGCAGCCACAGGTCCCTGCAGCCCACAGAGCTAGCAGGTTACTTAGTCTGCACTTCCTCTCACAGTGCAATTTCTGCTGTACTCTCCTGGTGGGGAAAACTGCAAATGTGGCTCCTTCACCACATGCAGATGGAGGACCATGGAGGAACACCACAGCAGGAGGCAAGACCGAGCTAATAAACACGTAAAGGTGAACTCATCAACAGTTGCTGGGAGCCAGTTCTCATTTCCATTCATCTCAAAGGACTAATTCCCACAATTTAAGTGGTGAGAGTTGAAGTGATAGAGCCCACAGACTTGAGACAACAGGTGGATTAAGAGCAAAGGATATGGTTAAAAAAAGGTGAGGGAGAGACCGTGAAAGCAGGAAAGAAGGAGAGGTAAGATTGCCTGTGGGCTAATAAAGAGCTGGAAGGTGGTAGGAGACACAGCTACACCAGTCAGGACAATTAACGGCTTAATCTCTCAGCTATGAAACAGATCTTACTTTGGAACTGCTTAAAGGAAACTTTTTCCCATCCATTCATCAGAGTGAAAGAGACTGCACAGGTTTATCTGTGATCCACACCACAAGCATGGCCAGATCTTGGTGGAAAGAACATAATTTAATTTAAACAGCTATATCCCAGTCACCACCCAACAAACCTCACTGCGGATTGTCGGTGAGTATACGAATAATTTCAAGAGCTGCTGGCATAACTGCGAGAGCAGAACCCATGATGTAGAAAGGTCTGTTATGATCTGCTAGTGCAAGAACCGCACCACAGGCAGAGCACGGTGCTGGTGACCGGGTGTGCAAGATGCACCAGGACAGGTCATACCCCCCCACATTTCCTCTCCAGTGTTCATTCATTCCCTGCAATGTCTATCGCAGCCTCAGTCGGTATTTCAGCCTGGGCAGGGAAAAGCTGCACTTCTGGGTTTCCTCTCCAGTATCAGCCTGACCTGTTCACACTGGTGGCCTTCACTCCTTCTTGGATTTCTTTATATACCGGGTGCACGCAATACACAGCCTTTGGGAACGCCTCACGTTCGCACTGCAGGCTCTCACCCGATGGCTGCCCTGCTTTTCCCCCAAGGAAAGCTTCAGCCTGCTCAGTCTGTAACTCAAATTTGAAATAGGGGAAAAAAAACCCACCTGACACCAAAAGTTTACAGAATCTAAAAGACAACACAGTGACTAGGGTGAAGCTGCATCACAAACAGCACGGTCGCAGTCTGAAGAAAGCTCATGAGTTTTTCTACGTAAAACTCCTTTTGTGTGAAAGCCCACCTGTGTGTGGATGTGCACATCCCACGGAAAACAACCGCTGAGATGCCAAAGTCTGCAGATACCACATCACCCCACTCCTGCAAACTGGAGGCCGTGGTGCGACTCTCGTGTGATGACAGGTTTCCCAAGCAAAGTCAGTTCAAAGAACTTGCCTTCCCCTCTCAGATTTGCCAGTGCTTCCCACCAGGCTCAGGCTGCAAGCCCTTAATTTTATCTCCAGGCCTTTGAAATTGTGGGCAGCTGCTACCGGCCATTGCAATCGACCTTTCCGAGTCTGCTCTTTGTAACTGCTACAGAAATAGATGTTTTCCCCCAATATTCAATTTTTTAAAGTAAATTGCTTCCTTTCAGCCATTCTTAGCTGTAGACAGCAACTTTAAATTTGTCAGAGAGCTGTGAATTTCCCATCCAGGCAGACGTGTGTGTGCTCACACTCATTGCTTGGAAAATGGTCCACCAAGGATGAAGAACATGTTCAGAGGTACCAGAGTCCATTCGAGAGCTTTGAGGACAGTGGCAGACAGTTCAATTCTACCAAGAGGAGATGGATGATCTTAATATGATGCACTTAAGTACACAGATGCTTGCAGCACTGAGCATATGGACAATGTCTTTTTCCTTCCAACACCTGGCTACTAAAAATCTTTAGCTTCCGTCTTGAATGTCTAATATCAGGAACAACACTAAAGAAAGAGAGCACCCTCTTTTTTTTTACCTCCTACTCCGAACTTCCCATATATGTTTGGGTTTCACCACTTTACTAAACAAATTCCATCTGAAATATTCCTGGGTTTACTTGGTTCCTACCTATGAAAACAATTCAGGAGAGGGCATGGTCAGGAACCCAGAGGTCCTGGAGTTTATCCCCAAGCTGCCATGTACTTTCCAACATGACCTTCACAAAGCTGCTTAATCTCCCTCAGCCTCACGGCTGAAAAGGGAATAAGTGATTCCGGTGTCTCACCAGGGTGCTATGAGAACTAGCGCAAGAGTGTTTCGCCCAGCACTTCAGGATTTTTGGGTGCAAAAGGTGCGAGAGTAACGTAAATGCTTATTATAAGCAAGATACCCTAGAAGTAGCTTGTTTCACCTCTTAAACAAAACAGCAGTCAAGGACAATAGTGAGAACCAGGGAA